CCAGGCTATGAGGAGAGGGCAACATCCGGGACATGGGCTGGTCAGAGTACCAAGCGAGGAAGCGAGCGATAGCGCGGCCGCCCGCTTTGTGGCGGCAGCGGACGTCTCGACTGACAGTGGTCAGTCGGCTGCCTCCGGGTATCGCGTCTAAGGGATTTTCTTCCTCCTGCATGCTCCTGCTGCTTGTTGCTTGATTGCCTGACCCTTAGGCTGCTTGTCTGCGCGGCTTCGCGCTTGGGCTGGCGATGCCGCGTCTGGGTGCCAGCAGTGCTGGTTCTTTTCGGGCTTGTGTTTTGTGTGTGATTGTGCAGCTTCTCGCTGTGGACTGTGTGCCTGCCGGTTCAGCTTGTTCCTGCTTTGTTTTGCTTGAGGCACTTTTTACCTTCTGCCAGTAAATCCTATGCCGTATAGTAAACAGCGGGGTGTAGACCCTCAGAGGGCGTGAACTCGTCCCCTCCCCGACTATGCGGAAGCTCCCGCTTGAACCTCGCAAACTCTAGCAGGTCGGGATGCGCGGCGAGGTACTGCGAGGAAGGCCAGCGGTGGTATTTCTCAAGCGCCAGGTGGACAGAGAGGTCAAAGCGACGAATCTGTGATTGGACCCGCGGGAGAAACGGAGATGACCCCTGGAGGAAGAAGCGCAGCTTCTGGAGATGGCTCGCCCTCACCAGCGTCTTGAACATGAAGCCATGCTGGACGAGCCCGAGCTTCGAGAGCTCGTCGTTGAGGGTAGAGACCTTCGCTCGGAGCTGACTAGCATGAAATCCATCCGTGCCGATAGGCAGGCCGCCAAGTGTAATCCCGCCAGTGACGACCTCGAAGTGAAGAAGTTGAGTCTTGAGACGGCGCTTAAGGCTCTTCTTCAGCTGCGAGAGATCAGGGTGTTGATGCCAGGAGGGGATGTAAACTTTCGACTCGCGAGGTTGAATCTCTAGCTTCAGATCAGCCAACATGTACTTCTTCATAGCGGACGTAGCTGCAACGGCATCCTCGAGTGGACCGACAAGCACGACGTTGTCAGCATAGGCCAAGACTCGAACAGAGGGAAAAAGCTCTGCGGCACTTTTTACCTTCTGCCAGTAAATCCTATGTCTCCTGCGATATGGAGGAGCAGGGGGTGGATACTGTGGCAGAAAAACACGCTGGAGGGGACATCGCCCTGACAGACGCCCGAGGTACACTGAACGGAGGCTGACTGACTTTTGTGAAAGAGTCGAAGGTCAGCAGAGTCTCCATAGTAGCTGGAGAGGTAGGAGGCGAACAAACGGAGATGCTCGCAAGAGGGCAAGCTTGCGCCTTCAGTGATGCTCCCATCAAAGTAGTCGCGACTCGCACGTCCCTCGATTGCATCGAAGAGAGCCTGGCGGTCGAGGGAGTTGAAGGCGTTCTTTGCATCCAAGCTCACCAGCACTGTGGGGTTGGCAACATCCTCATCATCACCGCGAGCGTGAAGGGGCAGGAGCGCTGACGCGGTTTGCGAGAACTTCAGACAGCCGTCTCGATCGAGTCCGAACTGAATCGCTCGAGGGTGAGACGAGAGGAAGTGCTGGTCAAGAAATGAGCGAATCCCTGCCAAAGCAAGCTTCGTCGCGAGTCGACGGTGTGCGGAACCGATGACAATTGGCCGGAGACCAGGTTTATCAGCTCCCTTGGAGAGGGGAATAAATCTGCCTCCTCGACGAATGGCTGACAGGGCAGGAATAAGAAGATCCGGCATCCGGCCAAGAAGGACCCCTTGGAGGATATGTTTGCAGTAGAGCTTCAAAGCTGCAGGATGACTAGAAAGGGGTGACAGGTGTTGCCGAATCCTCCACCCTTGGTCATCGGTCCCCGCAAAGGAGCTGTAGCGCTTGATCGCCTGGATCAGGCTAGTGGTGTCGAGGATGTCAGTCAAATCCACCTGCAGCACTGCAAGCGCTTGCTGGGTGAGATGATCCGCGGAAGCACTTCCAAAGGCAGGCGACGCACCATCAGGGAACTTCTCTTGTGCTTCAGCAAGAAGATCAGCAAAAGATTCAGCCCTGTAGATGCCGGAGCTCAGTAGTGTCCGTACCGCCCGATGAAGGTCACCCGCAGTGAACTGATGAATCGCCAACTGTCGTTGGCGCTCGCTCGCAGAGGTGAGGGACAGCGTAGGTCGCGGCGGAGGAGCAGGCTCAGACTCCTGAGACGATTGGCCGGACTGCCGCTGCTCCCTCGGCCCGCGCGGTTGTGGTCGCTGCTGTTGCTGGTGTTGCTGCTGCTGCTGCTGCTGCTGCGGACGCTGGCGTTGCTGCTGCTGCTGCTGCTGCTGCTGTTGCTGCTGCTGCTGACGCGGGTGCTGCGGCTGCGGCTGCTGCTGCTGCGGTTGCTGCTGGTGGCGGTGGTGTTGCGGCTGCGGCTGCGGCTGCGGCTGCGGCTGCGGCTGCGGCGGCTGCGAATGTGGCTGCCGCCGCCGTTGCTGTTTCTGCCGTTGCCGCCGCCCTCGCGATGCTGGTTCTTCTTTTCGGGCTTGTGTTTTGTG